CCCTGAGCTGCTGATTCAGCATCCTCTTCCTCTTCCTTGGGTGTGTCGGCGCGCGATTCTGGAGCATCTATCATATCCTCGTCGCTGTCTTGCTGGGGTGTTGCGCTGCGAACAGGCGTGCTGCGACGCGCTGCAGCTCGCGATAGGCGGCCGCGCGCCATTGTGGCTGGTCGAAAACGGCGTTGATGTGGCGCAGGTCAAGCTAGCAGCAGTTTTCGCGATGTGTTTGCAACTACAACTTCGGGATTCGGATGCAAATTGGGTGAAGGGCGGTGTCGGTGGTTAGCGATGCTCTTGCACTCCAGGAATGCTAAGGACCGCGACGTGAAAGAGCTAAGCAAGGGTCCCGCGCACGGCCCATGGCTATCACGTGCAAGCTCAAGCCAGGCGTTTTCGTCAACGTCTTCCCCAGACTAAACGTACATTCTCCAATACCTCACAAGTGGCCATCGTTGGTGCTTCGGTGCATCAAGCAATTATACCCACTGCAGTAAACGATGTCAATATTTGTCATGTCCAAGCAACGGCACGAAGCCCCGAGCATATCGCATCTCCACCTAGGTATTACGGGAATCATGAGAAACGAGCTCGTTGAACAGGTCTCTTCCACATCATACCAGCGAACATTATACCTGGAGTTATTTCTCTTAGAACAAACGGGTTCAGAGTAATTCATGAGCGCGTCGTCTGCATCCGCTCGATCTGTAGAGGGGTTGATCCTGCCAAAACCACCATACGCTCTTGGAACTTGCCACCTTGAAGTACGCAGAGTCAACTCGGCAGGACCAGACGTGCATATCAACAAACATGGATCAGATGTCAAGAGCGCCGACTCCAATAGCTCCCACACACTCGTGGCCTCATCCGTTCGACTAACCCCGTAGCCTCAACCACACTGCCGAACCTACAGTGCAGGACTGGGATAGTGACGAACAGCCACCATGCCTTTTGATCGCATCATCAGTGCGAAGAGGAGCTTTACCGGTATCCTCTCTCGAATGAGTATAGCTCCGTGAGTCGGAGATGTTCCTATCTCTGCTTTGCTATGCTGACATTGTCAAGTCCCTCGCCACCCTGCTCCGCTAAGCACAACGAGAACAACGCACCAAGCTGTGAGACTCCAGGACTGTCCTCGCCTGTCGCGAGCTCAACTGTACCTGATTCTAGCGACGAATCGCCTATCAGAGAGAGTCCATCAATGCGCAAAGGTCTAATGGGCTCGTTGCGAAAGCAAAAGCTGCGGAGCATCGGCTCTTTACGCAGCTTGCGCTCACCTACCAAGACCAAGCAGTCTGATACATCAGAGTGCCTCATGAATAGTGTAAGCATCTTTCCCCACAACGGAGAAACGACCACTGACTCTCTGTCCTCTAGAGTCCGCTGACCCCGAAGCACCGCCTCAACTCATCGCTTTTACTCTACTTCGAGGAGTCTCCCCCAGACAGACCACTATTCGATCTTGACCGCATGGACTCCCGAACCTCGAGTTTGTATGTCCACCATTCCTCGCCGGTACCGGTCCCATCACCCTATGAACAGATTCCGCAATCACCTGCCGATTCATCGCTCATACCAGATGGAACTGTTCCACCATCGCCAGCACCTATACAGAAGATCCTGGACTCAGAGAAGTCCATGGTTCGTTCGTCACCAGCATATACCCACGCGTACGAAACAGTTTCGGAAGCGATGAAAAGGCCAGCTTCAACAAAAAGCGCTCTGTCTGACAGTCTTCGGGAGGCTGCAGTCTACTTCAATGAGCCTCTCGTTCGCTATCCAAACCCAGGATCCGAATATCTGCCTATCGACGATTGCTTTTCACTTCCTGCTAAGAGCGAAGACTTATGTCAGACATCAGCCCGAGAGGATCCGTCTGGGGTGGATCGTATGGATAACTCGCCAGTCTACAACAACCCGGATAAGCCAGCAGAGGATGCGACCACTGAGGTCTCAAATGCAACGAATACAGACAGGAAACCAGAGGAACATGCACAGCTCATCCTTGAGAAAGGCTACCAGGCATGCGTCTACCGTCGAGCAGACGGAGAGTGTCGTCTGAACATCAAGCTGCTCGCCTTTTGTCATGAAGATGACGACGACGACTGCGAATGGAACATCAAAACGCAAATTAGGTTTGCTGCCGCAGAAGAAGAAAAGCTGGCGTCACAATTGAGCGCTATCATTCGGAATGTGGGGTTTACCTCTATGTCTGACAGCGAGCTCGATGAGGCTTTTGCTACAGGAAAGCTTCCAGCAAATCTGGATGTTGACCCAAGTTGGCACGTCACGGAGGAAGTGAATATGGGAAAGCGTGATAGTTCCTGGGGCGAGCATACTGGGCTCTACGATGGTAGCGGCTATGGGTCAAGTTCCAGCTCCCGACCTGTGACTGGTGTGACTGAGACGGCCGACGTACCTCGTACACGTATCCCTGGAGCATTCGTCGACCACGAAAACGAAGCGCCTATGATCATCCGCAGGCTGTGGGACAATACCTATCCGCACAGCCCGGATACGGACTCGCCTGTGAAGGCTATCGTGGCTGATCCCGCAATCTCCGCAGCGCAAGAGCAGCACAACAACCCCTTGCAAGACTACGAAGCCTTCCAGGGCATGTTGGATCTTGGTGGCAGTGCATAGATCATCGGGTACGCACTTCGTTATGCAGGGTCGTTTAAATTCGCTGGGTCGGGTCGGGCCCTGAAAAGTGTGACAGTGACCGATCAGGAACGGTACATCCGGCATCCTTCCCAGCAAACAGTATTCCATCGATAGAGTCTCCATAGTTATCAATGCAGCCCACAAGTTTCTTCCACATAGGCGTCTTCCAGCTCATCTCACACATGCGCAGCGGGGCGTTCGCGTGCCCCAACTCTCATGATGGCACCACTGTACCCAATAGCCGTACCTGTAATCAAAGTTCCAGTCCGCAGATCATCCGAGTCTTGCATCAGTTAGTCCAACCAACGGTAATCGAAAGCAGCGAAGATCCGGGCTCCAGAAGGTGTAGGAGGGAAATCAGGCCATGTCGGCTCATGCGACTTACCCGAGTCTGGGACGGTGACTGGGGTGTGCAGTGGAGTTAGCGAAGATGTGCGGAACAGCTCGTACGATGTTTAGTATTTTGGGTGGGCAGCAACATGATCTAACACATGATGATTATGCTGTGATGTGAGACGCCGCTGGTGTGCCGGCCTTGCGCGAGAGTACTTGCTGGCGTGCTTAAAGGCGTGGTGGCGGGCGGTTTCGAGGCTGTTGCGGTGTCCCTCGGTTTGCCCCGCGTGAAGTTCAGAATGCCAGGCCAAATCCATGCTTCTTGTGGGGAGAACGCCAACGACGTCGTTATCCTTGGCTGCGGCATCATCGGCTTGTGTACCGCGTACTATCTCACAGAAAGCGGAAATACAGATCCAAAGAGTATTCATCTGGTTGATTCGAGTCCGAAGTTATTCCATTGCGCGTCTGGCCTTGCTGCGGGCTTCTTGAGTGCCGACTGTACGTTTGGCAGCGTGCGATGCGTGCAACATCAGCACAGCGCGTCGTTCAACACCTGATCACTTTGTCTAACTACGAAGTAGGGTTCGCACCATCCGTAGCTTCCCTCGGCGCGTTATCCTTCAAACTTCACGCCGACCTCGCGAACGCGCATTCAGGACGTACAACATGGGGATACTCGCAGTCCACCGGAATCTCCCTTTCACAAGACAGCGAATCGGCCATTGGCGGTAGCGGTGAAGACTGGCTTGAGAATGGAACGAGTCGAGCACAATTAGCGAACCACAACAAGCCCTGGGAAGAACAGGCTGCCGGACCAGAATGGCTTCGGCGCACACAGGAAGGCATCATGGAGGTTATAAGTAGGGATGGGACGACCGCACAAATCGATCCGTTAAGGTTCTGCCAGTGGCTTCTGAAAGAAGTTCAGAGAAGGGGGGTCACGATACATCAGCCAGCGACAGCGACAGCCATCATCAAAGACTCAGAAGACGTGTTGCGCGGTGTGAGGATATCAGAGGGTGATGACGCCCAGTCGGAGACAGAGTGTAAGGTCCAATCCATACTAGCCAACTACATATTTGCTAACTACCTACAACAGTACCATGTAGCCGTCTCGTAATAACCTCAGGCGCGTGGTCTCCACGCGTATTCAGCACCCTCTTCCCATCCTCGAACGCGCGCATCCCCGTCTCCTCGTTAGCTGGCCACTCGCTGCTCGTTCGAAACCCACACCACAAACCCGAAGAGCTCGACAAGGAAGTCTGCCACGCAGTCTTCGCGACAGATACACTTGGCTTCTCGCCAGAGTGGTTTGCGAGACTGGGTGGAGAGCTGTATCTGGCAGGACTCAATAGCACAAATATACCGCTGCCGGATGTTGCAACAGACGTTCAAGCTAGTGCGAAGGCTATCGAGCAGCTGAAACAGTGTGCGAAAGCTATGATGGTCAATGTCCCGGGCAAGGACATGGAGATTTTGAGGGAGGGCTTGGTAAGTTAATACTGGGAGTAGAATGTTGAACTAGTTTGCTAATCGCAGGACAGTGTTTCCGTCCAGTCACATCTAGCGGCCGACCTATCGTATCGCGGATACCGGACGAAAAGCTGGGGGGTACCAGGACAAAGGAGGAAGGCAATGGAGGTGTCTTTATAGCGGCGGGCCATGGTGCCTGGGGTATATCGCATGCGCCTGGTACTGGACTTGTTCTGTCAGAGCTGATAGAAGGGCGGGAAGCAAGCGCGAATATCGAGGCGTTGCAATTACCAACGTAGAGTGCTCTTACTCAAACAAAATGTGTATTGGGTACTCATCAACTGGCTACATCGAAACAAACGTGCTGGCCCTGTGACGAGTATGGAATCAGGCTTCTTGTCTCTGACATCATCCAGTGCACGATATCCTTGGAGTTAGCGCAGGACTGCGCCGCACGCCCGCACGATGACTCCGCAGTTGGTCTTGTCGAATCGTCACACAAGCTAGTATAGCAATTCCAAGCAAAAATAATGTCTACAAATCCTGCCGACGAGGTGGCCGCGAAGAAACGAGCTGAATGGGAGAAGAACCCTATACATATTGAGCAACTGGACGCAAGCGTGATGGCTGGTACGTTTCTAGTCAAACAACTACTTCGACTACCCTGGAGCTAAAGACCATGCGCAGCAATACCAAAGGATGTGAAGATACTATCGATTACACAGTCCGGCGAAAGCGCCTGGTGCGAGAGTTTCCGCATCGATGCAAACCTACTAGATGGCTCGGAAAGGCAGTACTTCGTCAAGGTAGGTTGTGTGTCTTGTCACACGAAAGATCCCATCTAATAGGACCGCAGATCAAAACAGGCGAACTAGGAAAGCGAATGATGCAAGGTACCTACGAATCCGAACTACTTTATCACTCTTACTGCCCCGAACATGTTCCAACACCAATTGCCTGGGGAGCCTATAAAGACCACCCGGACACATGGTTCTACATCTGCGACTTCCACGACATGGCGATGGAGAAACTGGATCCAAGTGCCTTTGTCGACATCATTACTGGGGTGCACAAAGCAAGTATGGGAAAATCATCGCTCGGCAAATACGGATTCCACATTCCAACTCACCTTGCTCACGTACCGAACGACAACACATGGGAAGATTCGTGGGAAGTCTGGTATAGTAGAGCCATGCAGACCATGTATGATTTAGAGAAGAGCAGATACGGGATAGACAAAGAATTAGAAGTCATCTTCGAAGCTCTCTGTTCTAAGGTCATACCCAGGTTGCTCCGCCCTCTGGAATCCGGCGGTCGCTCGATTGAACCATGCCTCTTGCATTCGGATCTCTGGCCTGGAAACTGTATGCTGGAGAAAGAGACTGGTAAGATCATTATCTTTGACTCATGTGCTTTCTGGGGTCATAACGAGTGTGACTTGGGTAGCTGGCGTGCTCCGCGGTACAATATGGGCGAGGAGTTCTTTACGTGCTATAAGGATGTCATGAAGCCTTCGCAGCCAGAGGAAGATTGGGACGACCGTAACAGACTTTACGCCATGTTAGTACAGTCCCATGGAGGGAGGTGTTTTTGCTCACTAGTAATAGTCGCTATGATCTCTTGGTCTCTGCGCTTTATCCCAACAGGCCCGAGTTTCACGATAGGTATGTGTAAAGATACTTACGTTCGAATGTCCGGCTGACTGGCTTCAGGGCCAAAGCTGAGACGAGAGGGCTCGTTAAGAAGTTCCCTGGCGGCTTCGAAGACTGGGAAGCCCGACAAGTGTTTTCACCACGCGACCTGTAGAGGTCAAATGCGATCTCGTCAATGGTTGGCTTAGGTCCGTTCGTTTGCACTTTTCACAGTGACTGCTTACCCCGCGTTTGATGTGCTCGAAGTAACCGTGCCGCAAGACTAGACTGCAGAGACGTCAAAGCGTGCCTTGTGAGTCAGGTGCCACCCTTCTCTGTCGTACCCTGTTTGAGGCATTCAGCTCTGAACAACACGGCTGTCCGATCATAATGGTCAAGAATGAAAGTAACGAAGCCGCGGAAGAAGAAGGGGCTGCGAATAGGCTCGCAGACCAAGAAAAAGAGGGCGCGAATGTCGAAGACACTCCATACACCACGTTCACTCCCACTCAAAAGCGACTATTACTAGGTGCCTGCTCTACAGCAGCGGTATTCTCAACAATCTCGTCGTTCATATACTTCCCCGCAATTACAGCGATCGCAAACTCATTGCGGGTTTCCATCGAACAGGTCAACTGGTCTATCACCTCGTACTTGATAGTATCGGGAATCGCACCCTCGGTCTTCGGCAGTCTGGCTGACGACATCGGTAGACGACCCGTACTTCTTTTGACCCTCTGCATTTACGTCGGGGCAAACATAGGACTGGCTCTTACGCAGCACTATGCGACTCTCATAGTGATGAGATGTCTGCAAAGTGCTGGTGCTTCAAGTACCATCGCGATCGCATTCGGTATCATCACAGACATCTCGATACCTGCAGAAAGAGGATCTTACGTAGGTGTGTTGATGGGTGCTACCAACGCTGCACCATGCTTGGGGCCTGTCATTGGTGGAGTGGTTTCAGAAAAGTTGTCGTGGAATTGGATCTTCTGGCTCTTGGTCATCGTTGCCGGAACTTTGCTGGCGACACTTGCCCTCTTCCTTCCGGAAACTGAAAGATGCCTTGTAGGAAACGGGAGTCTTCAACCAGCGTGCCTCATGAACAGATCCATATATTCGCTTGTATCTCGGCGTAAGACCAGGTCTCCGGCAGCTGCATCTTCTCGAAGTCGTGGCTCCGCCTTTCTAGGACCTTTCAAATCACTGTCAGCTCTCAGGAACCAAGCCAACTTCATCGTTATCTTAGCCGGCGGTATCACTTACACTATGTATACGTGTCTCGCGGCTTCCCTCTCAGCGGCAGTCATCGCAGAGTATGAGATGAATTACCTTACGGCGGGATTGACCTACCTTCCGAACGGCATTGGCGGTATCCTCTCGTCGTATGCGTCCGGCAAACTCCTCGATCACGACTACAAAGTCACTGCGCGCAGACTAGGCCTCCCAGTAACGTCTCGATCGGGCAACGAATTCCCCTTCGCAAAGGCTAGACTGCGATCGACATTTCCGGTTGTAATCGTCAGTGCGGTGGCTACCATGGGGTACGGTTGGGTATTGCACACGAGGTCGCACATCGCTATACTGCTAGTGGTCCAGTTCTTCTCCGGAGCGGCTCAGGTATGTATTTTCGCGACATGCGGGACGCTGCTCACAGATCTTAATCCCGGGAGAAGTTCGACTGTACAAGCGAGTTACAGCCTGGTGAGATGCGCTCTCAGTGGTGCCGGCGTGGCGGCTTTGGAGACGATGGTGCGCCGGATAGGATACGGGTGGACTTTTACCGTCTTTGGGGGCTTGGGACTTTTGTGTGTACCCATACTTTTCTATCTGAAACAGAAGCGTGCTCTATGAAGCAGAGACTTGATTGTTGGCTGATTATAGGTGGCTGGAGGGTCGCGTCGCGATCATGAACATGACGCGTTTAGGCTGAGCTTAGCGCCCTTGCCCCCTACCTAATCAATTGATGACGCCCCGCGGGAGGCCTCCTGCACCAACCCAACACGTCTTCGAAACGATCCTGGCATGAATCCCAATAGGCAGCAACATCGTTTATGGCAGCATTTTGCCGCACGACCCGATCAGCAACATCGCAGGCAACCATAATGCTGAGTCGTTCTTTGTATTCAAAGCGTCGCTCTATCGAATAACCCGACAAATACTCTACTCCACGATAGCGATTTTGCCAATCATGGCCAGTCCCGCGGCCAATACGAAGGCTGAACCCGACATGTTCCAGCACTCTATTCTGCCGAAAGAGAAGGGCTCCTTTCGATTGATACAAATCAGACCTGGTTTTTCCGTCGACGGCCTCCCCGACTGCTACCTACAGAATGCGCTAGTTCAAGAATCGAACTATATCTGTCTTTCCTACACCTGGGGCCAACCAGGGGACGAGTATCCCATCAAGCTCGATGGAAAACTATTTCATGTGCGTCAAAATCTCTACGACTTCCTCCAAGCGGCACGCCAGCGTCTCACATTTTGCACATTATGGATAGATGCGCTGTGTATCAACCAAACCGATGTCGAAGAACGAAACCACCAAGTTCAACAGATGGGTAACATCTTTGAGGGCGCAAGATTGGTCGTGTCGTGGCTAGGCAATAGTCTCGAGACGCAAGAATTCGTTCAGACAGTGGGACTGGAATTGGATCGCCAGGTCTGGAAAACGTTGGAAGACTTTTACCATAGCAAGCACTACGATCAAACTCATAGGAGCCGCTATCAAGGATTGAAGCCGAACGCCAGTATTCGCTCCGCCAAAGCTCACAGTCTTGTGGAAGCCGATACATACGACGGCCACTCCCTTGACTCTCCATTTATCAACAAAAATTACGGTTACATCGCAAACAATGCTTACTGGAAAAGAGCATGGGTTACACAAGAAATAGTCCTGGCAAGGGAGCTGGTAGTGATGGCTGGGGAGCATGTCATCGATTTCTTGTCACTCGCGCACGCGTGTAAGAGCACAAGAAACTGGATACCTAAGAACCCATTAGAGGAATATGCGTTCTTGTTACAAACGCAAAGGGGCAAAGACACAAGGGATAGACGCAGCTGCCCGTCTCTGTTCAACGTGGACAGGGATGGCACACATGGACTGCTTGCCCTCCTGAAGTTCTTCTCAGGAAAATGTTGTGCGCTTCGGCGGGATCGCATCTACTCCCTGTTGGCGCTTTGTAAGGGTGGCGAGAAGATAAGGGTCGACTACGATGAACCAGACATTAAGCTCATCATGCAAGTTCTGGACGCTTGCAAATACGAAGTGTGCTTCTGTTCTGCAGCTACAGTGGCTCGCATTGTCAATGGGCCTGGCTTCTCCCATCTGGAAATGGAAGCTTACGCTGTCCCTGTAACGCATGGCTTCAAGCTTCAGGCATACAGCTCGGACCTCGAGATCTGTCCATCATGCTCTCAGCCGGTACCTCAATCACAACATGGTGTGTACTTTTGCTTGCACTGCGATTCTGATGCTTGCCATGAACAGCAGGGGCATCTGTTCTGGGACAACGCTCGTCGTGATGACGTAGCAGATAGCTTCCGGCGTCGCGCTGGTCTCCTACGGTTAGCCAGAAAAGATCTCGGCGAGCCGCGCGTGCTGTGTAGGCTAGGGAAAGGAATAGAGATTGACCGCGAAGAGGCCGAAGGCGAGTTCTACACCTTGCGATTTTCTCTTGGTACACTCGTTGATGTCATGAATGTCAAATTTGAAGACGAGAAGCAGTCTTATTCATCGCACACATGTCGTGGCTGACGAAGACAACCGCTCTTAGACATGCGATCATGCCTAGGTAGAGATGCTGGGTATATACGTGCTGTATCCTAGTATTCAGCACGCATGGATCTTGGCAGAGCCTGGGTGTATCGTGAAAACGATATCATTATGACTAAAGCTACCTCCACCGACCAAATGACTACATCAGCGGAGTACGTGAAGAATGGTAAACGCTCTCAGACGCCCCCAGACATGTAACAATGTACCTGATGCAGGAACGTCTTTGTGGGACCAGTGTCTTTCACGCGTGTCCCGACTGCCCTTTTTGCGCACATTGCCATCCTATGCATCTACCTCTGTGACCACGTCCGACGGCGGCTCGCCTCGCCCCAGTCTGTATGGCTCGGTGTCCTTCCGCATTCATTCAAGGAAAGATCCTTTCCTCATATACATCCTGGCCATACTGAAGATAGGCTTTGACTACCACGTTGCGTCCTTGAGTAGTGAACCCATGTTTGATCTGTCGACAGAAATCCAATACAGCGGTGAGATTGCTTGACTTATCGTCTTCGACCAGGCCGTCATTGCTGAGTTTCATCTGCTTGCGGGTGTCGTAAGTGCCGGCTGCGCCGCTGATCTTTGTAATGGTGAGCTTTTGTAGCTCTTCCAAGCCCAGGATAGCTTGGAGTTGGAAGTCATGCAAGAACATGTCGAATGAAATTGGGCGGATGGAGAACGTTGTATTGCCACTCCCAGGTGTACACAACAATGGCGAGTAAAGTGTGACGTTAAGCTCGCGAAGTCGTGAGAAGCGCTTGATCGTGGAGGAGTTGACCTTATTGCACCTTTGCGCGAGCTCGCGGGCGTCCTCTTCACTTCGGCCGGGCTCGCCTTCGAGGAATACAATCCCTCGATGCCCGTTCACATTCCTTGTTTTCGCCTTTCGAACATGGAGATGCAGGGACCTTGCCTCCAGTGAAACCATGATCCTACTGAGAGCTGTACAGTCGTCGAACTTGAACTGCGCTGCCTCTAACAAACAAGAGAGCAGTTCGCTTCGCAGGCTCTTACTGGTAAGACAAAGAGACGGCAGAAACGGTGAGTGCTTCCTCTTAAGTCGGATAGACTGCTCATAGTCCTCAGAGAATCGCAAGTTCGGCCAATTCTGACAGGCTATCGAATGCTTTTCGTCCAGGAAGTACTGCTTGTAGACCATGCATCGAATCTCCTAATAGAAATCGTCAGCTAACGTTATAGTCAGAATCGGTACAGTGATCACACATACGGCAGGTAGAGTCATGAAGAGGTGGAATGCGGGTTGGTGAAGTAGTTCCTCAACGTATGAGTTGAACGCGATCAGGAGCTCTTCGAAACCATCTTGCGCATTGTCGACGTCCAGAAGATTGGTCGCGTCATTCATAGCCGGCGCCATGGTGTCGTTGGAGGCGAGGCGTGTCGAGCGGGTGAAACACGCGTGGTTAGAGTGGAGTGTGTTTAATACAGACTTTGGAAGGCAAGAGCGACCAGAATTGGGAAGTGACGGAGGATGCTGTTCGGCGCGCTCTCTCACGTTTTTGCGGCTGACAGCGGTAGCATTGTACTCTGCAGAATACTTCCAACTCTGGTGAACGGGGTAGTCGCGTGAAAAGTCTGGGTACCTACATATGTAGGTACCTAGGTAGAGGCGGCGCGCTAAGGCTATCACACTAGAACCCATCCGGCGTGGTCACCCAAAGTTGCACAGTCCTGCTGTAATGGCACTGCCAGCCGAACTATAGACTGAGTCGAGGATCTTGTGTGGCATCTCGAATAGCTTCATCAAGAGATGCGTCGGATAGAAGGAGACAGGCTACAAATGGTCGCATAGGTCTGATCTGCCCCCCACTACAAGTTAGGTAGAAGAGCAACTGTGGATGTTGAAGAACAAAACTATCAACTGGTACTTTGTATATTCTCGTTGATCAGCTAACACTACTAACATGATGGGCACCTCGACATTACATCTCTACTCGTCATCGTCGTCGTCATCGACAACAGGTACAGGGTCAGCTTTGCCTGTGGTCTTGACCTTCCGGTCCTTCTCCGCACCGGCTGGCTTCTTGCCTTTCGGGTTGGCGTCTTCATCCTCCTCCTCGTCTTCCTCGGGCACCGCGGCGTCGTCGTCATCGTCGTCGCTCACGTCGTCTTCCTCCTCCTCTTCATCATCCTCATCATCTTTGGGCTTGGTGCGCTTGGTCTTCTTCTTTGGTGCTGCAATCGAGTGTGAGAAGTTTATGTTGATGATATTGGGTGAGAGTATTGGCTTACGAGGCTCTTCGGCGTCGGAATCGTCTGAATTGAAGTTTGATCCGTCAGACTCGTCATATCTACGTGAAATGTGTTAGCACCGTGACGAAAGTCCTATAGTCGAGAGTAAAGCGCAGCCCAGAAGTCCTCGACACTCAAAGGACAGACGCGACCGCCGAGCGAATCCAAGTTGAGAGCGTTGTGAGCATTGTTGCGAAGCGCCGTCGCGTCAACCGTTTCTCCACCTCAAAAGCCCGGGCGCAACATCGATTCCGCGCCTGTCAAACTTTCGTAGAACTTGGTAACAAGTCCAAAGGTCCTAATTCACTCTGAAGAGGGAAGGCGATTGCGATGCCTTCAAGAGGGGATGCATGCGACGCGAAGTGCAAGGGCCATGACGTCAAGGAAGCGCCGACTTACTCTTCTTCCTCTTCGCTCTCATCACTTGGGAGAGCGACAAGCTCCTCCTCCTGGTTCTTCCTCTTTCTTGTGGACATTGTGTCGTTCTGGGGAAATTTGACGAAGGTTGGTAGGTCAAGGTAGTGTTTTGGGGTAGGGCGAGAGCTGAGAGCTATGGAGAAGCTTGCGAGCGGGGACCCAGGGACGGGCGCCCGGATGAAATAGACACCACCTACACAGGCCCTACCAAGGAGGCTGGGAAGCCAGGGCTCTTGCGGCTTTTGCTCAATGGCTTAGTTCGGGCTGTTCGGGTGTGTCCAGGTCAGCCAATCATTGGCCATGTGGTCATCACCCGCATGGGAGCACCGGGACGGGGGCACACAAGCGTTGCGCTGATGTTACTTTGCTGCAGGTACCGCTCGATGTCTGTTGACATGAGAGATCCATCGGGAGTGTCGCAAAGACATACGTCTCAACGGCAGTTGTGGGATAGATAATGGTGAACATTGTGCATCCAACCAGCCTCTACGGCATAGGAGAGGACACAACAACAGCTACGCAGTGTGCTCTTTTACGTCAAATCATTTGTAACTACAGAAATGCGTCAAACGCAGCTCGAACTTGATCCATACATGTGGAATTGCATATGAGATCCCTTTGGCGGCTAGCGATCCGATACAGCGTGCAAGGCAGCAGGCTCCCATAGTCACAGTGTTGGCCATGTGTTCGCAGCTCAAGGTGCAGAGCTCTCTTCCCAAAACAGTCAAGCTCACCCCACTTAGCGCCAGTCATCGCTAGTGCCCCTCCCGCGGTACCGCGTCTCATTCGTGCTGCCTTGCCGACTTTACTTTCTTACTCTCGATCGTTCCTCAACCGACCCGACACAACGCTCGTTCGCACCCGCGCCCTACGTTCCCACACGCCCAATATGTCGGCAGCTCAGGTCGCAAGGGGACCGCGGATCAAAGGTCTGAGCGATCCCTACCACTATCAGTCCAAAGCAACGCAACGAAGCAAGGCGCCCGTGGTGGCTGCCACCAAAACCGCGAAACGTACATACACCTGCTGCGAGAAACCCGAGATAGATACTTCCGACAATGAAGTCTTGTGCTACAACTGCGGTGCTGTCCACGGCGAAAACAACATCGTCTCCGAGGTTACTTTTGGCGAAACTTCGGGCGGAGCAGCCATTGTCGAGGGTGGCTTCATCCACGCCAACCAGCGTCACGCGAATTCCATGGGCGGCACTATGCGGGGTCTGGAGGGTATGGGTAGCAGGGACCAGGCTGCGATGAATGGCAAGAACTCTATCGTAGCTCTAGGCGCATCTCTCAACCAGCGCGAGGCCGTCGTAGAACAGGCTTACAGCTGGTACAAGCTCGCCATGAACCACCGATTCATCCAGGGTCGCCGCATGAGGACCGTTGCCGCTGTCGCGATCTACATGGCAGCACGGAGACAACCCGAGAACACGCTCATGCTCATCGACCTGGCCGAAAAGATTCAGACCAACGTCTGGCAGCTCGGAGACACGTACAAACAGTTTCTGGAGATGTTGAAGGAGGACGATCCCGCACAGCTCGTGGGCACAAAAGCCGTCCAGGAGATCGAGCCGTTGATGCTGAAATACTGTCGGAAGCTCGAGTTTGGAGAGGATTCTCACAGGGTCGCCGACGACGCCTGTAGGGTCCTGAAGCGCATGAACCGGGACTGGATGGTGCAAGGTCGTCAGCCGGCTGGGTTGTGTGGCGCCTGTATCATCATAGCCGCCCGCATGAACAACTTCCGCCGGACCATCCGAGAGGTCGTCTACGTTGTCAAGGTCGCCGACTCCACTATCACCTCCCGTCTATACGAATACAAGAGGACACAGAGCGCGGCTCTCACGGTCAACCAGTTCCGAGAGTTCGGACCCCGTCTCAAGGTTAAGGCTCAGCCTCCTGCCATTTGGCGGCGCGCAGAAAAGGAAGAGCGAAGGGAAAAGAGGAAGCAACGAGCAATTGAGGGCGGCGACCCGGAGAATACAGAGAACCAGTCGGGAGATAGCGAGGCAGAAGCAGGCTCAGACGCGGCACCAAAACGCACGAGCAAGAGGCGCAAGTCAAACGACGGTTCATCTCAGCCAGTCGCGACTGAGACGGAAGCTTCTGGTACACAGGATAGCGATCCATCCTCTGAGTTAGCGGCTCTTGACGGCAACACGGAGGCGGTCCTGGAGTCTGTTGTCAGTGCAGTTGAGGAAGTCGAGGCCGGTGAGACCATCGACCCAGACTTTGTCATGCCTAAGAAGCGTGGCCGACCACCAAAGAAGCCGCGAGTGCCTGTTGTCATCGCCGAAGAGGATCTCGAAATTGAGCACGAGCTTGAAGACGAAGTCACAAATACCATCAAGGACTGGGAGGGTATCTTCAAGGAAATCGCCAACAGTGAAGATCACGAGCTACTCAGGCGTTCGGGCTGGACAGCAGCAGAGATGGCCCGCGTCGCCGCCGACACCCGCGATGCCGTCCCCGTAAACACAGATCCTGAGATTGGTGAAGACGAGTTCAACGACGACCCCGACGTTGCCACCTGCATCCTCAATCCCGAGGAAGTCCGCCGCAAGGAAGCCATCTGGATCACGGAGAATGAACAATGGCTGCGCGACCAACAGACGAAGATGTTGCAGGCCGAACTCGAGGCTGCAGAGGACAAACCCAAGAAACCCAAGCAGAAGCGCAAACACCACCAGATGGGCGATGGCAATGTTCTTGAGGGTCAGCCTGCAGCTAGTGCGGCGGACGCTGCCCACAAGATGCTCAAGAAGCGCGCCAAAGCTTTCAGTAACCACATCAACTACGACCGACTCAAGGAGTTGTTCCCCGGCGGTCACCCTTCTGCGAGCCCATCTGCCAGCGGTCAGGGTGCTAGTTCAGCTTCAACCCCTCAAGCTGTTGTGCAGCAGCCTGCAGATGTCGACGCGGAAGGCGAGGAAGAAGAAGAGGAGGAAGAGATGGAAGAGGTAGAAGAAGAAGAGGAAGATTTGGAGCACAACTACTTGGAAGACGATGATGAAGGCTTTGCTAACGAAAGCTACGACTACTAGAAGTCTTGTCCGTGGTTCTTTTTGGGAGCATCAAGAGGTTGGCGATTGGTTTTGCATTTTCATGGTGAAAAGTTTATTGGATATCACGACCTTGGTCGGCTATCTTTCACAAAGTATTGGGGCTTGCTTTTACAGCCGCGTTGGCTGGCGATTAGATGCGGAGTATCTTGGGGCTGAGACTTTGCATATATACCCCCGCTTGCGAGCGCAGCATAGCATCATGGCAACGGCGTTAAGCATTCATCAATGAACATTCAGATTAACATTCTTCGTTTTTGCACGTTCCAGTCTTGGCGCATGCATCACATTCCAAAGTCAGAGGCGACAGATATTGTTTGTAGGGGAGGAATTCCCAATGATAGATTGGTCCCTGCTTCGTAACTCGTTCACACATGCTCATGCTACCCTAAATTTTTGGTATGCGAATCCCTTGCCATAAAACGCCGAAAAAGTCTATCATGGAAGACACAGGCGCCTCATTCCCCGAACGGTGGTTGACGCCGTCCCAAACCTCACTCTACACGCAAGAGACAAACTAGCACATCTTGTACTGTGACTCGCCTGATGCTTGCCTGTGCATGTCGTTCGCCTCGAGCTTGTATGAGATGCTGATGTCCAAATCGCGGTGGTTCTTCTCATTTGGCTTGTTCTCTAGTATGCCGCTGATGGTCTCGCCCTCCTCGACCGTCAGTACATCCTTCAGGTAGAAGACTGTCTGCTTCCAGTGGGTGTACTTGGTGTGAGGTCCGGTGGAGAAGCGGATGGGCTTGTGGCAGGCGGCGAACTCGATGTCGAACCATGCGATGACGGCGTGGATGAAGTCGCTGCGGCGCGCCTTGAGCTCGTACGGTAACCGGAAAGCGAGGTCGGCGACGGTGCAGGTGTAAAGGTCAAGGGTGATGACGGGGGAGGGGTCGGTGACGACGGCCTTGATGTCGACAGTGTCGACGAGGGGCTCGGTAATGGCGGTGGCCTTGAGAGGAGAGTAGTCGAAGCCCCAGACGTTATCCCAGACTGTTCTGTTAGCATTGTTGCAGCAAATCAGAGCTTTGCTGTACTTACATCCAATCTTCTCCTCCTTGTACTCGCCATCCTCGATACCAGCCATGAAGATGGTAGCCTTGTCGGGGAAGATCAAGCCGTCCTTGACCAGGTACTTGTCGCGGGCGTAGAGAACGGTGTCCAACATGGACTCGTAGAGCAGGAAGTAGCCCATCCACTCGGATATTATTATGTCGACCTTGTCGAAGGGAAGTACAACCTCCTCCATCTTGCCCTGTAGCAGGGTAATCTTGTCCGACATGCCGTTAACCTCGACGATTTCCTTTGCCTTGTCGATGATGGTTGACATGTCAACACCAATGACGTGCTTTGCGCCGGCCTTTACGGCGAACCTATAACCAGCATATCAGCGCGTGCTCGTGTGTGGTATGTAGAGGGGCGAGGAGCGCATACATGCTCAGGATGGATGTGCCGCATCCAACATCGAGGACGACCTTGTCCTTGAACAGGTGAGGGTTCTGGTAGATAGCGTCGCGGTAGCTCTTGGTTCGGACTTCATCTTTCTAAAGCGCGTTGTTAGTCGTCGTAGTAAAGGTCAAGGGCAGGGAGGGGCAATCGTACCAGCATCTCCTCGTGGATACCTGTATTCGCGCATTAGTATCGTTCACCTCATCAGAGTGTACTTGTACGGACCATGGTGGTTGTAGCTGCACGCAACAATGTTAGCGAAACTCTACGTGTATCTGGACCCTCAATGATGCCTACCTGTTGAAGTAATGCGCCTCAGAGTGCGCCATGCCCGTGAGGGGGTCCTTCTTTCCGGCTTCTTGCTGGTTCGCCATATTGAGAGTAGAGTGTGAGGAGAAGGGGAGGTGTGAGCGGTTGAAAGTAGAGGAAGAGAGACTGGCGTTGCTCCGGTCCAAGTAGGATAGGGAAATTTTGGTTTTGGTAGTACCAAGCACAGACTCGCTCGGTCCAGGGTCTCACCAGGGCAATCTCGGTGGGAAGCGGGGCATCTGAGACTTTGGACGCTAGGCCCAAAGAGGCGTGACACGAAGATGTTCACTTTTTTTGCTGTCGATCCCAAGGTTCATGCAACCAATTTTCTTTACCATTATGCTACTTGCGATAAATAACGGCCAAGGCTTCAAGACAAATACAGCATCAAGAACAGCATAGTGTCAATTTGCAACATCCAACCAGAGAAAGTAGTGAGAGGGGTATATCGTGCCAAAAGCAGAATCCGCCCTCGTCGTTACGGCGTGAGAGTTTTGTTTGCGTTATGTCGTGAAGTCGTCAATAGATTTTGGTCGTGATGTCGTCATACATTAGGAGAGTGTCGTACATTTTGGTCGAACGGGATTGCTCTATTGAGCTCGTCAGGAAGCCTAGCGGACTCTCATGCGGTAAAAGTTTTCTTTGAACTGTTTCGCGTCTAACTTATGTATCAGCATCGGACACGTATAGGTGATGGGAATTCAAATACCTTCTGGTGAAGTAAAGCTCAACCGGTACTTGCCCGTAGGGCCTTTGGGTAGCCTGTAGCTATCACTGAAGACATACGGATGCAGCTTCTCGAACTGGATTGTTTCTGGACCGACGCGCTTCATCCAGTCACCGCGTCCGACATATGGCGTGACGAACGCCGTCCAGATAGGTATGTCCTTCATAGGCCCGCGACGAGCAGTGGCTTCGAACCGTACACAGCCCGAGTCCGTATCGTATTTGACGCGGAAGACGTGGAGATACTTGCCGTCAACGGTCTCGCTGAGTAGCGTCAGCATGAAACAAGAGATTAGTGACAATCACTTACCCTGCGAACATAATCCTTTCTCCTGGCAGGAAAACATCTTCGAGCCCCTCTGCAATGGGAGTGTGGTCCTGGCGCTTCATAGCTATGGCGGTACAATAGAAAAGTACCATACCTGAAAGAACATTAGAGGGTGTTTGCAGGAGCGACTCAAATGTACCTACGTTCGTATAGAGGGAAGCGCAGTCTAGCCCACAGGTCAAGTTGACCATCTTGGCGATTGATGCGACAGAGCTGCAAGCACGATCCTGCGCGCCGTACTGCTAATGCGGTGATTGGAACCTGGTACCTCACACGGTTGCCATTGTGATCCGTAGTAAGGAAGAGTATTCGTGCACGGTTGTCGTCGGCCCTCCAGTAAATTCTTATCCAGACCTCAGTTGCTTCGAATGGCAGTTCTAGAATCCTTTCAAAGCCATCGGTGTCTAACAGCTCAATCACTCTTGGTTCATCTCTCCCGAAGCACTCAGTAGGCTCCGAGGGGCTTTGAGATGGTGTAGAGCCGTGTCGTCCATCGAATATCTTCATTGCCCAATGAGCGACTGGCTCTGAATCCGTCGACTGGTTCGAATAGGCCTGTGATGATGCGGACGAATACGTGGGCGACTGAGGGATTTCTGGCACTGGGGGAGGAATATACGGTATGTCCCCTATGCCTCCCCACGTTGGTGCAATATGAGATCGATGAGGTAGCGGTAGCGGGGCTGGCTGGTACCCGTACTGGGCTGCCGGATACGTGGGGTGTTGGTGTATCTTCGGTCTAGACACCTTGGGGGAAGGCGGCTTTGGTGTTCTAGCACCACCCTTCCCATTGCCATGTACCGAGAGCTTACTGAAGTAAGATTCAATCGGCGTTGGCTTCTGCTTCTTGAGCAATCTGGCCAGTGTGACCTTGAATTTAGCCAATTCGGCCTCATTTTCGTTTCTGGACCCAGTCAGCCATGCTGTTGAACACGTTGCTAACATTATTTACCCCTTCAGAGCATCGTGCATGCACTGTAGATATGTCCTAACAATCTCGAATCTTTTGGGTAAGGACATGCCTTCCGCCGTGAAATCCGTAAGCGCATCTTCCCAGATGAGTGCGTACGGTGGTGTGCCGGGGAAAGCACCGGGCGCAGCGTGCCTGCTCTTCTTGGACCTGGTGAATATTTCTTGAACATCGTCAAGCGTGTGTCCTAAGCTCGGGAGGCAAACCTCCAGGTCCGTTCGTATGAAGCCTGCATATCTGCCATAGCGGGACGACTCCAGCGCCTCGTTCAGCTCGAGTAGAGCGTGCGATATGGCAAACAACTCTGCGATATGGCTCCTGACGTCTTTGCGATATTGGGGGATCTCACTCTCGAAGGAGAGTAGGCCCGTTGCGGTCTCCTCAGCTTCCTTGGCGTAGTCGAGTAGTCGCCAGTCCATGACAGGTGCGTACCGGGGATAGATAGCCGAAGACAAAGGTTTAGTAGCAACGCATGCTTTAGACGCCTGGGAATCGGCGGGGAAAGGGAAGAGAAATCGCTCAAGCGATGGCGCTACGAGATGAGCGTCTGGGGTAGACGTCTGGTGGCATGCGCGCTTGAAGAGGGTCGGCTCTTGACGTGTTTATGCAGCAGCACGCCGGTGAGAAACGCCAATGACCTATGCCGACAGAATCCCTTACCAAGCCTGCATGTAACCCGCGGTCTTCGCTTCCTCTTTCACACAATTTTTCTGTGCAATCAGTTTGGCCCCCAATCTTCTAGAGTTAGATTCTGTTAGTGTCGGCCAGCCTGCGGCATGCAATTGCGCTGCACCGCTGGGCAAGATGCTGTTCTGGACAGGCGGAGACGCCACCCCGATAGCTGCACGTCTGCGCTGTCAGTGGAAGATCATTCCTATCGTACTGGCTCGCAGCACAAAAAGTATCGAAATGTCCAGAGCTTTCGGCCTAATGACATCGTTGGTCTGCATGTCGGCGCCGCGGCATGGTGTTCTGCCTAACTCTCTCCACTATAGCATGGACTAGTCCTGCAATGTAAGCAATGATTGTTCAACGGTTGAGGAGACCTTCGAAGCCGCCACTCCGGATTGTGCGATGATATGCCTCTTGACAACTGTCAACCATGAGAGTATCGATGCGAAAGCCGCCACACTCGAGCTAAGCATCAATAACCGACTTAGATCATAAACAACAATCTGCTCACTCTCTCATGGTTTTGTGTGGAATGGTAGGAAGTGTCTTTCGAAAATGATGGGATAGACATGCAGATATATATGTATTGGACGAGACCAAGGCTGCGCCTCACTCTGTCCAAGCCACCACCGCAATGGGGCTGCAAGTCTCACCCATGAGCCCCTTTCGAGGCAACCATATAACTGAAGTTGAATGATTTGTTTTGGTTGGTTACTAATGTGGGGCCATGACTTCTGCGGCATTGACGGCAAACCCTCGATCTTGGCAACGAGAGCCTACGCGCCCATACGCGTAGCAGCCGATGGTCCAGCATGTGTCCATCACTTTCCAAGAGCCTTCAGCCTCTCATCCACCAGCTTCGAAACCATCTTCTCCAGTATCGCGAATTCTCCATTCGATGACCCCTCAAAGTATCCAGCTACGCTCTTCTCGACGTATTTGCCGACTTGGTCGACCTCGACATTGACGTCCTCGCCCGGCTTCTTGCTTGCCGTGACGACTTTCTCTTGCGTGTAGGCAATCAACATGACCTCCCACCAACCCTCAGGACCATCCTGCACCTTTGTAACCGTCAAGCTAGCCCCATCGATTGTGACGTAACCCTTCTCGACTATGTATCGCAGGACCGATGTATCGCGAGGCTTGAAGCGGAAGGTAAGCGCGTTGCCGTCCGGTGTTACCGACTCGATGGTGGCGATGGTGTCGACATGTCCTTGCACGAAGTGACCGCCCATGCGTGTGTTGGCAGAGACCGCGCGCTCTAGGTTGACATTGGAGCCCTCCTTCAGCGACCCCAAGTTTGTCCGTCGGAGGGTTTCGGGAGCGCATCCGATCTTGAACGATGACTTGGTGAATTCCGTGACGGTGAGACAGGTGCCTGGTTGGATTAGACCACGAGATGAAGTATAGTGGTGCCAACGTACCATTGACGCTGATACTGTCGCCCAGATGGGCGTCACCCAGTATGTCCTCACATCCGGAGATGGTCAATGATGTGCCGCCGCCTCCCGAGGCCGTCTGGTCGAGCTTCTCAAGGGCGGCAACAGCTAGCCATCGTCAGCCGAGCCGCGCAGGAAAGACAATGCATGGTAGCTTACTGCCAATGGTTTCAACAAGACCAGTAAACATGGTGGGGTGGGTAATTGGAGAGAGAAACTTGGTGGGGTTCTGCAGCTAACGATGAGCCTCGGATCACCGAACTGGAGCTAGCCCATCGTCGGGAATAGGTATGCCGTGGAAGCATTCCGTTACCCGGCACATGTCGTGATTCTACATACACCACATCGAAATGGCAAGCATGCTGCTAAGAAGCTCGAGACGCGCTTTCCAGGCGACGGTGACATGTCCACGGTCCAATTGGGCACGACCCAGCCATGTTCGACGGCTAGCAACTGAGGCATCGAATGCAGATGCGTCCAACCTGCCTCTAGCCGGCATTAAAGTGCTTGATATGACAAGAGTACTTGCTGGAGTGAGTCATGATTCATGAACTCGCGAGAAACTCGACTGACTTCTAGTAGCCATATTGCACGCAAATCTTGGGCGATCTTGGGTATGCGATGGATAGCCCTGTACGGCCCAACCGAGGTTGGCGATGAGAGGACTTGGAGATTGACGTTGGTTTAGAGCAGACGTAATCAAGATTGAGCATCCGACAAGAGGAGGTAAGTAGAGGGGTATTTGAAGCTGCTCTCCAACCCAGCTAATTCGCCTAGACGACACACGAGCATGGGGACCACCTTACGCGAAGTACACCGACAACCAAGAAGGACCAGGAGAGAGTGCTTACTACTTGGGTGTTAGTGGAACACCCCTATCACGGCTCTTTCGTGGCTCACGGGTAATAGGTCAACCGTAACAAGCGATCG